AACCGTTGCATCACTTCGTGTATGCTGTCGACGTCTTTCTTTCTGTATATTGTCTCATGGGARGGGTGCGGAGGCAATATACAAAAAGAGTTTGGTTCTGCGTTGCGCTTCTTTTCGTCTTCTAACTCTTTTTGAATTCTAGCAAGGTCTTCTGTAGGGAAACACGTCTGGTTTTCGATTTCTTCAATTCTTGTGATATCAATCTTTAAAGATGAGAACGCTATCTTGATCTTTTGTATGGACTTTTGAAACTCAGCTTTGCTCATCTTTCCCGTTTTGTTGTGTGCCATTTCATTGCGAATTTCTCGGATTTCATCAACGCTATTACTGACCACTGGTGTTAATGTCGGCCTCACACTGTCTGAGTAAAGTATGGCATAAAAGAGACAAGTACAATCCCAGTTGTTTCTGTCTCCACTGGACATCAGTCCAAGAAGGCGTTTGTTTCTTGTCTGATTCTTAGCTGACTCCATGTTATAAAATGCAGTATAACTGGTAGGCGTGTCATCCCACTGACCAGGCGTACCTTTGTATAAGGCATCCCATTCTTGCTTGAAAATCTCTCGTAAAGCTTCAGGTACGATGTCGAAGACGATATAAGACAGCCTGAAGAAGTTCAGCTGATCTGATGTGTATTCCATTTTTAGAAAAAAAAATTAATGGAAAGAAACTGAGGTACCCTTGCTTCAGTCTATCTTGATTGTTGCTATGTGGTCACAACTGCGTTGGATTTGATAAAATAGTTCAGTCTGTGCTCTTTATTTGTTTCCTCTATTTCACCTGAATTGCAACCATACAATATGGAAATTTAAGAAAACACCAACAAAATATTTAAAAACAACTTACATGTGGAAATCATTAAAAAGACAAAGTAAGAACGTTCTTCCGATATCGGATAGACATGGGATCGTCACTTCCGCTGCCTTTATATATGCACCCAAAAAACCTTTTAATTAATTGACAAATTGYGTGCACATAGCGGKAATTGTAGCTGTGTAATTTCAATGTAGCTCAAAGGGAAYCACTCAATGCGTCGCTGAAAGATATAACGGTATGGGTTTTCTATTTGTAATATTTTGCGTCAAAAASTSGTTTTGAACATCGAAAAGGTATAGTACTCATGAATCGACCAATGCAAAAATTCATTTATCCGTCAATAAGCTTAAATTGATTTTTAATCACATTTAAAGGAAACTTTAATTTATTAAATTTGTTATTAAAGTCATTTTTTCGTTTCTTGTGTGATTTTATTTGCGGTATTGATGAGAACGCGCACAAAGTTTGCCAAGTTAAATACACGCGAGGTATCCGACGGCGAATTTAGCAGTTAACGGAAAGTATATTCACTACAACCAACGTCTTTCTGTTGATTGAATGAGACTCTCCCGCCGTTAACTTCAATTTTTAATTCTTTTGGCAGTTCAAATTATTAACAGTTGCTCGTGTTAAATGTAACTAATAACTAATTGAACATCAATTTCCGTAGGCACCAAGAGTTAGGCATCGATTCGTTAATCTGCCCTGAAAAGGAACCTCGTTTCCAGGTCGTTTTTCTCTGTTTTGTTTGTTGCTCCTTTGTTTGTGTGTTTGTTTGTTTTTACTTGCTTTTTTTTCTTTTTTGTCCGTTGAAAAAAAATCTATATGTAGTGCTATTGCAAATAATACAAGGATTCATTGGACGCAAGCCGTTAAAATGTAAAACGAAATAGTGAAGTAGTCTGTGGCGACAGTAAGTACTGTAAAGAATACTTTGGTAAATATGACGAATCGAGAATCTAATAATTTTGTTTCTTGTTTTCTTTTTTTTTTTTGTTCAATTTGCCTTTTTAGAAATTAGTAGAGGACTGGGGACGAGTTTCAAAAATTGGTCCACTTAAAAAAAACTTTCTCAGGAGAAAAATAACAATTTGGCATGCTTTTTATAAAAGAGAGCTGAACTGTAGAAATTGAAAAAAGTTTATATTTATGAAGAGCATGACTCTGTTAATTTTAAGATTTTGAAAAGGTTGCAATTTAGTTCTCCTTTACACAAAGAATGTGAAACTCGATAGACTTACTAATTAAATGTTTGCATAATTTGCGACAACTCTTTATGCCACGATTAATGAATAAATAAATTATCGTGGGAAGGAGGGGGGGCAGAGTGTAATTCATTTCGTTTGCGGGGGGGGATAGTACTCAACATTTTTGTTTTTTTTTGTCTCATTACTCAAAATTTCAAAATTTTCATTACTTTCTTTATCTTAAATTCAACGTAAATAACAACTATAATTGTAGAAAATGATAAAAACAACTTTAACTGGCAATTAATATGATATTGATATTACTCAGTTTTCAGTTTTAAGAAGGTTTATCAACAACTCTGAACATTTTTAATCTTTTAGCTAAAGCTTGTCAGATTATCTTTTTTATGAAAAATCTAAATTCAAAGACTTGTTCAGGATTGAAATTGATCAAGATATGAATTTTTTTCAACTATTGATTTTTTCAATTTATCACATAAATTGAAGATGTAGAATCTGAATAACATCTTGCCCGGTGTGTGTGTG